GTCAACTCGTGCCGGGGCGTGGTCAACTCGTGCCGGGGCGTGGTCAACGCGCGCCGGGGCGTGGCCTCTCGGCGATCAGTTTGCCCTCTCTACTCTCCTCACTTCCTGTTTCTTATGTATATGTAGGTTAAGCACTCGTTACGTGGTGTCTCAGTCGTGAAGTGCTCGAGAAGTCAAAATTCAAGAAATAGTGCCTCTGTTTGTGAATGCAAGAAAACACCCAGCCCACGTGGGGTGTCGACTGCCGGGTTCCGGTGAACTGTCATAAGTGTTTGTGTGTGAGTTCGACGCGGAGTGCCTTTTCTTTGCTCGCGGACTGAACTTTTCGTATTTAAAATGTTTTGATAGTGTATTTTAGAGACAGTGCGCGTGACGTCACGTGTTGTACGCTACTGAGAGGTTAAGCTTAGGGTGCGTACACATTGAAGCGAACAAAGAATTAACCCAAGAAAAATGTACTAAGAAGTAGGCAAAAGTATAAGATAGTGTTATTATCGACAATAACATTTGTTTGACAAGTTTCGCTAGAACGCGTATTCGCTTTAATGTGGACGAGCCCTTATTCTGTTATAACGTGCAATCTTTTAGTTTAATAGACATGGTATGTGAATGTTGTCCGTTGGTTTGTGAAAGAGTATGTACAGGCCGTTAGGAAACTGGCTCGGAGTTATGGCAGCTTAAGTTTAAGTAATTGTTATATAAACTCTCAGTTAACTTAATTTTGGCCTTGAATTGTGAATTTAATTGAATACACCGTTTCTGAACATCCAATTTCACTTATGATCGAGCCAACAGAATTTGCAATGTAATTTTGTATCTATATATCTATATGTTTGTGCGTCACTGAGACTTGTATGTCTGTATGTTTGCTAGCGGTACAGTAAGTAGGAAATAGTTACATTGTTGATATTGTAATACGGGAGTAGGTAATAAAGTACATTTCTTAAGTAGTACCCGTAGATTGTCTCGCGCGGTATAACTGAATGTAACTTTTATATAAATAAAATAATTCCAATATTAAATAGAAATTTTTAAGTTGTAACAATTTGTGGTAGAGATATTTCATTATCTACAAACATTTGTTACATACTAGCTTTCGCCCGCGACTCCGTCCGCATGGAAAAAAAAATACAAAAGTTAATAGCCTATGTGTATTCAGACTATCCTCTACATCTATGTAAAATTTCATCGAGATCCGTTTAGCCGTTTAGGCTACAAACTCTAACAAACATCCATCCATCTAAACTTTCGCATTTATAATATTAGTAAGATTTGATTTTGATGTTTTGTGACCTGAATTATTTTAAAATGTTGGCAATCCAATCTGTTTGTGACTAAATTTACAATCAGGGAATCTGTTCATTATCATTAAAATGTAATGTTAATTTTTTTTCTTAGGATTCCCTATGTTTCTCCCGACCTATATTATCTGAACTCTGTACTCTTATATATACTGATATTATTTGGAGGAAAACTTTGTTTGATTGTAATGAATAGGCTCAAAAGCTACTGCCCAGATTTTAAAAATACTTTCAATGTAGAAAGGTAATTTATCCGTGAACATAGGCTATGTTTTTTTAGTATTTTTTTATAATTTCACGCAGACGGAGTAACGGGCAAAAGCAAGTTATCTACAAAAAAGTATATGTTTGTTTTATTATAATTAAAATCTAAATTTCGCTATTTAATATTGAAGTTATAGGTATTATATGTTAAAATTTACAATTCAGTTGCACCGCGCTCACGTAGGTTACTGTTTGAAACCTCAGTAGGTGATATTGTAATGTAGCGTGAGTCCACTCGCGTGGCTCCGGAGCACAAGTTGGAGCGAGATGGCGAAACGTTCTCAAGCAATAATACATTCTGTCTCACTCACACGAGCGGCCCATCGCTGACGTGCACCTGTATTTCACACGAGGACTGATATAGGACAGTTGATATCGCAGTACTGCTATTATGTGAACAGTCACTGGCAAAGGTAGAGAAAGTCATATTGACAATATCGTTAGAAGAATCGCCAAAATGTTTCTAAATGTATAGGAATAAATACGCGATAAGCACGACAAATCGAATTTTATTGTCGATTTAATACATTTTTAACTGTCAGCGACTGTTGGTTTCGGCGAGTGTGTTACTATACTGTTCTACCCTCGTGTGAAATGGGTTTATAGGTCATGTTCATACCGTATGTGCCGCTCCCAGCAGTGGGCTTAGCTGGGAATAATTAGAAAGTTGATTTTAAGTGAAAAATTATAATTATGTTCTTTTATTTTATTGTTAAATGATTTTTTTTTTATTTTAATGTAATTTTTAATTTTTATAATAAAATATTTTTTCTGGCAAAATCAAATAAAAAAAATGTTATCTTTTAATTCTTTTTAATTTTAAATGTGCTATACAGTTGCAATTTTTAAATTTCATATAAAAGTGCAATATTTGACGAATTATTTTAATATTAAATTGAATTATTATGAATTATTTTTACAAATCTGTCTAGTAGACAAATAGTACATATTATTTTAAGTGGGAATGAATTCCGATGCCCGGCTACGCCCATATCCATTGTTAGTGTTACTTGACTTTTGTTCCATTATACATAATGACGGTTCGATTCCCGACTTCCCAGTTCAATGTAGTTAGCGACTGCATAGACCAGTAGAGCATACGTACGTCAGATTACAAAAACTTTATAAACATCTATTGTTATAACATAAACATAAAATAACAGTAAAATGTAATCTACGTAAAATTTACTCTAGTGCAGTCGACGTAGAACGCATACGGGAAATGTAAGCTTTCAAAAGTATACAATAATTATTAAAAATTTTAAAAATTAAGTCGTAAGTAGTGACTTGTAAATATAATGAATAGGCTAAATGGAACGAAAGTGAAGATACAACGTCTATATGGCACAGTAATGCGATAGTATATAAAAAGAGATTCACAAACTGTACGTCCAAATTGTCCATTGATATGTTAATGTACCTAATACAAATTACAATAATGTACTCGTTAGAGCGTATTTTAGTGGATGGGCGTGCGCGAGCGCAGCGCACGCGGCTTGTAGACGTATTCGTAAGGAGTTGACACTTGACGACTATCAAAAAACTTATTTTTACTGTAATCATAAGTTATTTCATATTTTAACTGAATAAATCAAAATGGTTATTATGTACGCTGTTTTTATTTTTCTATATTTCACAATGTATGGAAAACAACAAATTAGCTAACCCCTACAGCAGCACACAGCAAAATTCAGCTTCCTGAACACGTCTATAACAACAATTCTAACGCTTTTAGAATCTTTGAAGCAGAAATCCCAGCAGGAATCGTTTGAATCAACCAATAACTTTACAATCTGACGACTGTTCTTATAACAGCGACTACTTCGCTTTAACATTATGCGACTTGTTGCTTGCTGTGTGCCATAGCTTCATATATCCAGATCCAGAGGGAATGGCATGAACATGAATCGCTCTTGGAATTTGCAGTAGCGTTGTTTATGATCTAAGTATAACAATCAATCAAAACGACCAAGTTCGTTTCAGTTCTGCCGACTGCGCCAGATAAGTTTGCCGTAGCGTAAGTATAAGCGGTTAATACTTTTTTTTTATATTTAACCCAGGAAAGTAATTTTTTTTATCTTCATAACAAACATTTTTAAATGTCACTTTGACATTTGGCACTTTCTTAGATGTCAATGTCAAATGTAAATACAACCAAAAATGCAAATACGAACAATACCAAGCGTTGAAAAGTTTTTGTGATATGCTATTGTATTAAATGTAAGTAGTCCCGTTTACTTCAGATTTGGATCCGAAAGTTCAGACGATACACTAGTGTTCACTATAATTCACATAATAAGTATAATATCAAAATGTCTGAAAAAGAAAAGGGAAAGTTAATCATCCAAACAAAACACATACCTAAGGATGCGCAAGTGATAATGTCTATCATGAAGGAGGTGGGGATCACAGATTACGAGCCTCGCGTAGTTAACCAGCTTCTTGAGTTTATCTTTCGTTACGTGACCTGTATTTTGGATGATGCGCGAGTATTTGCCAATCACTCGAAAAAGAAGACGATCGATTTGGACGACGTGAGATTGGCGGTACAATTACAACTGGATAAAACCTTCACGAGCCCCCCGCCCCGTGATGTATTACTGGAACTGGCGAGGACGAAAAATGTTAACCCTTTACCATTGATCAAGCCACATTGTGGACTTCGCTTACCCCCTGATCGGTAAGTAGTTAAACACAATTTACTATAGCTTTAAAATGTTTTAACTTGTTACGCAGTCTATTTAGTTTAAAACTTTAAGGCCTTAGATTTATATTATAAGGTTTATAGACAATTTTTTTTCATTTTGTACTATGTTTGATAAGTAATACAATGAAATAAACAAATAAATACATCCTTACCTCTATTCTATGTTAATTAATTACCATGAAGTTTTTTGTTATTTGGTGCAGTATTTACAGTTGATTTAGCTAGTCAAGTCTTCCCATCGTTTTAATCATATTAAAATGTGGTATTGCTTAATTAAATTACATTTTTAATTAAAATTTTCAGATACTGCCTGACAGCATGCAACTATAGATTAAAAGTTCCAACAAAGAAAACTATAACAAAACCACCTCCCACTCCTGTGGTCAAAACTATGACCACACCAAAACCTCTCTCGTCACAGCAAAATGTGGTTGTCAAGAGACCTACAGGGGCTATAGTCAATGTTTCATCTTCAAAAGCTAATGTTGTTCCCAAACCGCTATTGAAATTCACTTCAGGAAGCAAGGTTTGTATTTTTTTGTTAAAAAATTGAGAACAACTTTCTCCTGTCATTCCTATCTTCAGAGGTTTCTTAAATAGACTTCTACAAAGCCGTAACTAGTAAAGGATCTCAGAGTAACTAATTTATCAATAAAATTTCACTGACATTTCTATTCTTTTAGGTTGTTGCGAAACCCGCAGTACGTGTGACAGCAGGACCTTCATCACAAGGTCCTCACAAAATGGAGATTGATGAATCCGGCCCACAAAAACGCAAACGAGATGATGATGATTATGATATGTGAACAATTTAACTAAATTAAATGTGTTAGGATATAATTTTGTAAGAATTCATATATGTTTTTTTATTTCCTTCAATCATAGCAGTAAGAAATGAAATTAAAACGCTTATAAAAAAATATAATCTTTTATTATCATCATAAATAAGCTCTCAATTATCCTTACATGATATACAAAAAATGTTTCAAAAATTTATAAAAACTTCAGTTTATTTTTTTTCATATTTGTAGATACCTTCACCAGTCTTTACACCTAATTTCCCTTCAGACACTAGTTTGTTTACTAAAGGTATAGGTTTGAATAGTTGCTGATCAGGGTACTTCTTGTGCCAGCCATCCAGGATGAATTTAGTTGTATCCAGTCCTACATAGTCTAATAACTCTAATGGACCCATGGGGTACCCTGCTCCCAATTTCATTGCGATATCAATGTCTTTCGCTGATGCATCACCTAAAAATATAAAAGGACTTTAATTTTTTTAATTTTTAAAGTACTATGAAGATTGAACCTTGAGTGGCGCTAGCAAATGATATAGGTGGCAGCTATCATCAAAACATTCTTATTTGTAGTAGTTATAATATTGGAGTCTCTAGAGGCGCCCTCACTCCCTCCCGCGGCGACGCCCGTGCATTACATCAACAAATAAAATACTATGCATATGTAAAATCACCTCTTTCAAACAATCTGACAGCTTCAGCAATATAAGGCACCAGTAGCCTATTGACGACAAATCCAGGTGTATCCTTGCAGGTGATGCAAGTCTTTCCCAGGGCTTTGCCCCAGTCCATCATGCTTCTATATGTAGTTTCAGATGTCTCCGTACCACGAACAACTTCTAGTAAACGCATTACTGGTACTGGGTTGAAGAAATGTAATCCACCAAACCTAGTAGAACAATAAATTTTATTTATTATTAGTGATTGTAATATAAAATGTACCTCCCTACTCCTATGGTAACCCCCTACTCCTGTGACTTACTTGTCTTTCCGCTTGACCACTGCAGCAATTTCATTAACAGAGAGAGAGGAAGTGTTTGATGCAAAAATTGTATGGTCCGGAGCTACCTGAAATTTTATAATAATGTTAATAGAGATGAAAACCTTTGCAAAATTGGAAATTTTTATCAAATTGCCCTTACTTGATCTAATTTTTGGAATAGCTGGTGTTTAATGTCAATATTCTCCACAATAGCCTCGACCACCAGGTCAGCAGTCTGTGAGCCGCTTACAGGGTCTGTGGCCGTTTTGATCCTGCCCATAGACTCGGAAACGAACTTCTCTCCTTCCTGTGGATTGTCTTTGTACATCTTCTTAGCGACACGGCCAAGGTTGTTGCCGATCGATTTCTGGGCCTTTGCCAAGATATCTCCGTTGACATCAACTAGTGTAACATTCTGACCAGCCTGTGCAGCTACCTGACAACAAATAAAAGTTTTTTTTTATATATAGAATATTATTAAACAATTCTATAATATTTAAGGTCATGAGAACTCTTCCTTTAACTACATCTTTTGTGTAAGCGTGAATTTTAAATTATATTCAAAAAGTATGAAGATAAATAAAACGCATATTGTTCGTTTATTTTATTAATTTATATTATTATCTAATTGGAGTGTGTAAAATTTTTATAAGATAAATGCTTTTCGTACCTGAGCTATACCGGATCCCATTAGTCCACCTCCTATAACTGTTACATTTTTAATTGCGCTTTGGACGGCTGAAGAACACGAAAAGTGCCTAGTAATTACTCCTAATTGATTCATTTTTTTATTATTTTAACAATGTTAATAAGAATTAAGAAAATTGAAATGTGAAATAAAAGTTTTACAAAATTGCGATACGAATTCCAAAGTTCACTGGCCTTATATACTTGCTGCGTTCCGTTCCAATTTCAAATATATAATTTTTTGGTCTTATCTTTTACCTATCACTGCTTCCTTTTTTTAATTCTATCTTATTTTAGGTTTTAATGAAGAAAACCATAAGAAACTTCTTCATAATGCGCTTGTGCACAATCATGATAAATCAACAAAAGCAGTACACAGGTAATATTAGTATCATCGTTACTTGGAATGGAACTTTTATGTCAAAATTGAATGTTTATATGCATACTTTGTTTTTCAGTATTTAGATAAGTTAGATTTATCTTAGCTTATTATAATGTTTTAAATCTTTCTTGAGATACTTTTAATTTATTTGCAATAACTGTAATATCAGTGTCATCAAAATGTGTAAGCAAGCAAGATATCGTAAAATGTATTCTTCACTGACAGGTGAGTACATTCTTATCATTGAATTTTTTTTGATAACAATTATCATTCGTTTGTTTTCGTGTAACATCGGCTTAAGTTATACTACTTGCCGAGATAAGTTTTCTGGACATTGAACGTTTTGGAAAGTGGAAAGTATTTTTACCGGATTAAACTTAGACGAAGTGTTAAGAAGTTAAAAATGAACAAAATTGTTTCCCTAACTAGAAACTTTTCTAGTTCGTCGTCTTTAAATGCAATTAAGACGGTTACTGTAGTCGGGGGAGGGCTTATGGGATCGGGAATCGCTCAAGTAAGTTACATTTAAATATTCTAATGTTTAAAAAGTTTCGCTTACATTGTTTTTTAATGTAAAATAAAAGGAATACTGTGATAGTGTCTTATTACATAAATCTTAAAAAGTTATGTTAGATGTCCATTTCATGCATATTTTTATGAGTTCAAAGTACTATAAGTACAAAGTATCTATTTGCATGCTCATGAATATGAAATTAATTTAGTCATTAATTTTTTTTTAAATCAAAGGTTGCAGCTCAAGCGGGACAAAATGTAACAATAGTAGATATAAAACCAGAATTACTGGATAAAGCAAAAAAATCAATACAAAACAATTTAACGAGAGTCGGTAAGAAAATGTACAAAGATGACACAGCCAAGATTGAAAACTTTGTCAAAGATTCCTTCGATAGGATTCAAGTTTCCACTAAAATAGAGGATGGTGTTAATGCCGATTTGATTATAGAAGCTATTGTTGAAAAACTTCATGTCAAACAAGAGTTATTTAATAAACTTGATCAGGTAATTCTTCTGTATTCTGCTCAGTAATTCTTCTGTATTCTACAAAGTGATTCAATCAGATGAATGTTGATGAAAGTTCTAAGAATACAGATTCTACTCAGTAATTCTTGTGTTTTGTGTATTCTACTCAGTAATTCTTCTGTATCCTATGTAATTCTTCTATACTGAATAACTTAGAAGAAATTATGTTATTACATATAATTACAGAAGATTTATCTGTATTTAGCTAGTCAGTATACACTTGTGAATAATATTGACTCTGTTAAATTTTCAGTTGGCACCAGAACATACAATACTAGCTACCAACACATCCTCCATCTCTATAAATGAGATTGGTGCAGGGATCAAAAGAAAGGATAGGTAAAATTAAAACTCACAAATATTCCTGTGATTTTTATTTTTCCAATAATGGTTTGAATAACTCATGTTTCATTAGTTCTGTGGATAAAAGGTATTGTAAATTAACCTTGCAGATATGGTGGTTTGCATTTCTTCAACCCAGTCCCTGTGATGCGTCTTCTGGAAGTGATCAAAGGTGACCACATCTCGGAGGCCACTTATCAAACAATGATGGAGTGGGGCAAGTCGGTTGGCAAGACTTGTATCACATGTAAAGACACACCCGGGTTTGTTGTGAACAGATTACTGGGACCTTATAGTGCGGAAGCTATAAGATTGTATGAAAGAGGTTAGTTTTTAAGAGAATAATTTAATGGGTTCAATGTTTTAAGTAAAAAATTGCACAGTTGACTGATTAAAGAAACTTTGATACTGCTTTTTGCATATTTGTATTAATATGCTTTTTGGATTTTGTACATAATTTGGTGCAAAAATTTAAGCAGTGCTGTATATGTAAGTAATGCTTTTAATCTCAGTATTACACAAGCTGTTGCTCGTGACTTCGTCCGCGTGAAATTAATAAAATAATAAAAACATACCCTGAATCAGCGTTTTAATGGTGAACGAATTTTTGAAATCGGCCCCGTAGTTTTTGAGTTATTTCAATACATACAAAAATCCAAAAATACAAATCTTTCCTCTTTATAATATTAGTTTAGAGTGACAGTTTTTTTTGTGATGTGGTTCTTTCACCATTATTGATAGCAGTTCTCGATTTTTAGCAGATGTATTTTTTTTTTATTTGTGTTTTCGTTTAATGAAATTTTTTTATTACTTTTTATTTTGCATTGTTGTTTTTAGGTGATGCATCAAAAGAGGATATTGATATAGGAATGAAGTTAGGTGCAGGATATCCTATGGGTCCATTTGAGTTGGCGGATTACACTGGCCTCGATACTAACAAGTTTGCGCTCCAAGTGATGTATGAAAAAACCAATAACCCAGTGTTCCAACCGGTACCACTTCTAGACAAGATGGTGGCAGAAGGGAAACTGGGTATTAAGAGTGGGGAAGGATTCTATAAATATAAGAAATAGTTTTATAGCAAAGATTATTGTTGATTTTCTTGTGGAGATATTTTTTTTTATATTATAAATATATATTTTATAAACACTAATGGTGCTTGGGGAAGACTGAATTAACAATTAATAAGATTGATATTAAAACCAGTTTTTTTATTTTTTGTACTGTGTTGCTATTTGTAATAAAAAAAATAATGGAGTACAGTGTTTTTATTTTATTTTTCATGGGCGTCGCCAGCCGATGACATAAGCTAGGAAATCACTCTTTGTCTTTATGTGAAAATTTCGTATATTCATAAAATTAACACATCGTGTGTATTTCTTTTACTTACTATAAACTTATCAGATAAAATTAATCCTACAAATATTTTTATATACGATTATGACGTATACAAACATATCAAGTTTCCAGTTTAATTCGTATCAACGGAACCATAATTTCTTTGATAAATAACTTGTTTATAGTACTTACTTGATTATAGTAATCTTTAGTGAATTTTTGTGATATTATAATGATTATTCTCCATTTCTAAAAGACCCAAATTCTTGTAAAGAGGTAAACACATAAATTTTACGCCAAGTATGTAATTTAAATGTTTATTTGAAACTTTTTCTGACATAAATAAGATCTAGGCAAGATCTAGGAGGTCTAGTTTTATATATATTTTACATATTTTGATTCCCTAGAGGATGTACATAAATGCCCTCTCGCTGGCGACGGGTATACATCAAAGTTTCAGAGGAAAAATTATAAAGGACATCTTTTTTTTTCTTAATCTATTAAATTTTATTAAATTTAATAGATTAAGAAAAAATCTAATCTTTCTATGAAAATTTAAAAAGTTTTTTGGCAAGCAAGTTACAGCTATAGACGGTAATTGCTTCTATATCTTGAACGGAAATACTTCTTATGTTATTAATATGAAATCAATTGATGTCGTACAAAACAAACTTTATTAATAATAATAATTTATTTATTGTCTCTTTTGTATATATATCATTGAAGTCTTAGCTCTTGTATTAGGTTGCCCTGTGTCACAGGAGCCACTTCCTTTCCCAATACTTCATTACAATTCTTTTAATGTGTACACAAAAGAAACAAAGAAATATGTTACAATTATTTAGTTCTTTTGAAACTATTAAAAAGGTACAAGAAAATTTAAGGTTTAATGACATTTTCAAACAAAACAATAAGATAGTATTTTTTTCCTCTGCTTTTCTTATTATATCCTTATTCTTGCAACAAAATAATTTTAGGTGACGCGACCGCTTCGGACATAGATATTGCGATGAAGTTAGGTGCAGGGTTCCCAATGGGACCTCTAGAACTGGCGGATTTCACTGGTCTGGACACCAAGAAGTTCATCCTGAAGGTCATGCATCAAAAGACCGGTCTATCTGTATTCCAACCTATTGGTCTTTTGAATAGATTAGTGGAGGAAGGAAAAGTGGGGAGAAAGAGTGGAGAGGGATTTTATAAATATCAGTAAATAATCTAGTTTACATTTTAGTCTACTTAGAAAAAGTTCCTTTTAGAAGAAATTAGATATTTGGACCAGTTGTTTTTATGCACAAATAATGAAGTTATGATTGTGTTTTTATGTGAGTAAATAAATGGTATATAGTATATGCGTGTTTTATTTCATCATTTAGCAGTAACTAAGGCTGGTCGTAAATGTACTGAATATAATTAATTACCTCACCACTTAACATGGTCGCAAAGAGTATCTTTGGTTTATTATGAAATCTATATAAAGAGGCATGATTTTTGTATGTATTGAAATATCTCAAAAACTACTGGACCGATATCAAAAATTCCTTCACCATTAGAAAGGTAATTTACCTGTGAGTAACATAGGGTATACCTTTTATTATTTTTTTAAATTTCAATGGGACGAAGTCTCAAACAACAGCTAGTGTACAATAATGTTGTTGTGAAAAGTACTAAAATGTATTACAAGACAGGAATTTTTTTTCATGGTTAAGGAAAAATAAATTAAGATATACATATTTTATCTACACATCGATCAAATGTATAAAAAGATTCGATAAGTAAACGTCGACAATGATTTACATTCGATTAGATAATTCGAGTTTTCGAAGTAATTTCGCTAACACGCAGTTTTGGATAGAATTGTCGAGTGGCAGTTTAGTGTTCAATACTTATTACTGTGTGCTAGTGCGGGACATTTTGGATACTCAACGTAATAAGTAAAAAGTAATATAAAGTGATTATTTACCGTAGTGTGAAGGTTACGTAATTGTAGTTTTAACGTATATAGTAAAATAAATAAGATATTAGGGGTAGCAAGACAAAGCATATCAGTCAAGGTGACGATTGCCTTTGGGGTGAACGACCTCGCTTAATTACATTTTTATGGCGGAAACAAGTGTTTTAAAAACAAACATTTTCATCTACCTTCATAAATAAACCTCTATGAAATAGGATCTTTGTAGTAACCGGTTTTAATTAGTTAGTATTTGGGTACGTTATTAATACAAAATTATTTATAAAGTTTGGTGTTCACAGATCGTTTGCTAAATGAGTGATGTGTGTCAACACCAGAAAAAGAGGCAGCCGATTCGGCGGATGAGATCTATTTATCAGGTAATATAATTTACTAGCCGTACTCATAGTTAATTAATGATCACTAAGGGAGACTGTACTAAGCATTAGAAATACAATGGTTATTTTATGTTGTTTCCAATCAGTTAAATTCAAGGTTAGATTGTTTTTTGTTTTAATTTGTGTATTAACAATTCGACTGTTCAGTTAAAACTGGACGTAATTAGAAGTTCAACTGATAGTTAAAATTTGATTACACTCGCACAGTTTTGACTGAATATCTTGGCTGTTCAGTTAAAACTGTCAAAACTGACTGAAGTGCTTAAGTAGACACCAGTTTACTTTTGAAATAAGTGCATAATGTTATTTGTTGTGAAAATGTCTGCAAGGTGCACTACGGTCTGCGGCCCCGCGACGACGAGATGACAGCACGGCCGCTGGTGCTGCCCACGGAGTCCCCGGAGGTGCACAGGTATGCGCTGCAGGTCGCCGGACACCAGACCACCAAGGATACCAAGTATCTAGGTAAGTGTTGCTTATTTCAGAGATTCCAATCTATCGTCCTCCTACCTCCCATAGGGTCGGCGAAACAGGTTTTTGTCCTCCACATAACTCTATCGTCCGTCATCTCAGTCATCACTCCCTTCTTGATCATGTCACCTTTCACGCTCCATCCATCGCTTTCTAGTTCTACCTCTACCCATGTACCTCCACATTCAGAACTAACGTTCTCCTTATTACACGCAATTCATCCTTCCTAGCACAATCTAACATCCAAGAATAAGATAATTCAAAATTCGTATGTGATTTTTCTCCTTTTACTGGTTTCGGTGAATCCCTCGTCTTTTGCTTGTATAGACTATAAACCTTTATTTTTTGCCATTGTACAGATTCGAAACCCAGGAAGTTTGGGGTCAATTTTGGGCACATTTGTCTAGATTAGTTAAGTTATGAAAGCGAAACAAATGAATAAACTTTTATTAGATGTCAATTAAAAAGATAATCGGTGACTCATAATTTCAGGGGAACTAGCACTATACGTATTAAATATCTTTAGGTCTTCTACAATGCAGCAACGGCAGGATACTAAAGCCGATATTAAAAGAATCTCAGAAACGAGAAGTGGAATTCTACGAGCGTCTGGCGACCACTAATGACCCCGATTTAGCTGAGCTACGTAAGTTCACGCCGCAGTACTACGGGGTGCGCCAGTTCACATACAATGGACACGAGCTGGAGTATATCATGTTAGAGGATCTGACTGAGAGGATGTTGGAGCCTTGCATCATGGATATAAAGATCGGTGAGATTTTTATAATTAGCTGTCGCCCGTGACTTTTTCCACGCGGAATTAAAAAAAAACTTGCTAGCCTATTTGTTCTTTCAGTCTTTGTATACATGTTTGCCGAATTTCATCAAGATCTGGTCAGCTGTTATGGAGATACCTTCTAGAAAACATTCATCTACACTTTTGCATTTATAATACTTACATGAAGCAACAACAGTGTGTCGACATTCTCTATAAATAAATGTTTTTTTTTTGATGTTTTGATTGTGAAGAATCACGATAAAGTACTCAAAGTACTGTGTTTTCTTTTGTCGTTAAAAAAATGTTGATTGTTTTTTAGCATTATATTGCGATCCGATTCCTTATTTTTTTTTCTTAGTTCTAAGGTTGCGTTATTTCCGTATTTATTCAGCGAAGTGTCACAGTAAAACTCAATATGAAATTAATTCTGTCACCCATCAACCTCCGTGTATCAGGTAAGCGGACATGGGATCCGTTTGCGAGCGCGGAGAAGATCGCGAGCGAGGAGAGCAAGTACCGGCGCTGCAAGCAGGAGTACTGCTTCTGTATCCCGGGATACCAGGTGTACCGCCTGGACCGCGGGGACCTGCACAAGTATGGCAAGGACCACGGCAAGAAGCTGCACGGACATATGGTCCTCGCCGGTAAGACCACACTAGACACGTCGACTTTTTGGCTTTAGAATGGATTTAGAATTTACGAACGTTAGTTGTAATTTGGATGTAACAAAACCCGGTGTACCGTTAGAGGTAGATCTAGAAAGAGATGGATGGATTGCGTAAAAAGGTGACATGATCAAGAATGATGACTGAGAATAGAATTATTTGGAGGACGAAAATCTGACGCGCCGATCCTACGGGTGTAAGACAAAGAAGATGATGGGTTGTACTTACAAGCATGAGAATATTTCGATCGCTGTTAAAATACATCAAGCAAATCAAATAAAAATGCATTAAACAAAAATGATTCGTCTTTGATTTTTGACTACTAGTATAAGGATTTTTAGATTATTGTTATTATGTTAGCTATCCGCAACTACCTGAACGCGGGCGGCGTGGGGGGAGGTGTGGGTGGTGTGGGGGTTGTGTCAGAGGGTGGCGGTGGCGGGGCCGCATGCCGCGCGCTGCTGCTGCAGCAGCTGGCGGCGCTATGGGCGCTGCAGCGCTGGGCGGCGCGCGCGCGCACGCTGCGCCTCGCCGCCGCCTCGCTGCTGCTGGTGTACGACGCCTCGCGGCTGAGGACTTGCTGCACGCAGTATGTACACACACACACTGCATATGCACACTTTATATTATTTCCTGTGATGAGTCTTGTTGACGACGTAAACTATTAAATATTACCTACTGTTCGTGCCTCTGTTTGCGTGTAATTAAAAAAAAAAAAACAAAACTGAGTAGACTATGTGTTCTTCCAGACTATCTTCTGCATCCATGCCAAATTTCAACGTAATCCGTTCAGCCGTTTAGGCTACAAACTCTAACAAACATCCGTCCATCTAAACTATCGCATTAATAATATAAGTATTATTAGCTTTTGTCTGTAGCTCTGTTTGCGCGGCATTAGAAAATTTAACAAGTAGCCTATGTCTCCTTCCAGACTATGTTCTACATTTGATCCTGATCCCCCAAGCAATTTTAGTGAAATGCAGTAACGAACATCTATCCATCCATCAAAACTAAAAGATAAATTAATGGTTGTTTGTTATTGGGTATCTCAAGTATGGCTCCACGGATCTTGTTGAATTTTTACATTTTCAAATTGCATGCGGATGCGACGTTAATATACTACTTACCGTTTCAGGAATCGTTCCTCCTACAAGCCGATAACGCGTCGCAAGTCCATCCATTCCACCGACAGCCCCACCGCGGGCTCCAACTTCAGCGGCCAGTTGGGGGCGCGCGGCCCGCTCTACCGCAAACTCAACTCTGTACCCCTCAGCCCCATGGCGCTCGCTAGAAACTACTTCACACCCCCACCCCCCATCACCTCCCCCTGGTCCGAAGCCTTAGAACGACTCAATCATAATCATTCCTTCGAACATAATTATGAAAATAAACTGTCAAAAATTAAAATGAATTATCGTGCTACTTTAGATCAATTGTGTAGTGAGATGCCCTTCCCCAACCCTTGGGGTACAGTCAAATTAATAGATTTCGCTCACGCGTACTTCGATGATGAGAATAAAATAGATTACAATTTCAAAGAAGGTATCGACAGTTTGGTTCAGATCTTCGAAATGTTGCTCCAGGAGACAGATGATCAGGTTTTCTGACGGATTTGTGTTTTAATATGAGTAAAATACAAAACCCCGTAAATAAATTAGCGTTTATACCTGTAAAGGGGTTAACACTGACATCTAATAATGGATAGTTCGTTGAAAATGAGATTTCGCTTCATTCCGATAATTTAAGTGTTATTAATTCGAATTCTCACCACGACCATCAGAGACCGCATTCGCTAAAATGGCGATAATTCAATAGGAACAAAATACCACGTCTAACCTATCAATTTAATGGACGTCAGTGGTTTTATGTTAAGACAGAATTACATGGTACTTGAAAATGTTACTAGTTTTTAAAAATTGAGTTAATTTGACATAATATAATTATGCCAATTTATTATAATTTATGTATATTTGTTAATTTATAATCTGCCTAATTTCTTTGTTAACACAAACAGTATATTAACATATATAAGATGAAATTGTAGTTTTTTTTAAATAAAAGACATTTTCGCTTTCGCATTATAAGTATATTATTTCTGAAATCAGCCAAAAAAAATTATTACATCCCAAATAAAACAAACATATAAACATAAACGGGCGGTGAGTAAAGAACCTCACGGCGGTAAAAAACTCGAAAAGGTACCAGCAGACATATCATTCACAAAATGGCATCACTAAGGGAAACACTTAGTGTACATCGAAACACTGTAGCTACACTAAAGCACAACTTAGGTATTCATTAAACAAGGGTGTAGTTAAAAGGAAATTAAGACATGTAATTCACAAATGGCATCACTAAGGGAAACACTTAGTGTAGATTGAAACACGCTGTAGCAACACTAAAACACAACAAGTGTTCATTAGACAAGAGTGTGGTTAAAAGTTAAATTATTAGTTTTGAAGAATAAACCATTAAACTAAGTAAAGAATCAAATTACATACATAAATATCAAATGCTCGATATTAAACATTAGGTAAATAAATCCCTTTAATGAGTAAAATAATAATTATAATCTATGTAATGTAAATGTAACATTACAAAACAGACAGTTTGATGTGCAAAGTGAAACAAACATGTGTTACAATGAAAAAATTCAAATATTACGAATTATTCAAGTTTTTTAGTCTTTACATCGAGTTTTTATTAATCTTAGCAGAAACTAACGACACAAATATATTTTACAAATAGTTTTATTTAAAAAAATATATATACCATGGCTCTTATGTAAACTAACTACTAAATTTAGCGATTTACATCTGGTTTTAAATATTTAAAACTCCATAAGTAACCAGTGTAAAACAACGTTAGAAAGAACAATTATAATTTTTGTTGTATTCATATTTCACGTCTTAATTAATCGTAAAGTTATATTAGTATTAAAAAATTTGATTTTTATACTTACGTTACTTTACATAGGAGCCATCACATGACATAGCCGTGAGGTTCATAAATCAGTAATAAGAAACTAAGATTTAAGTTATTTTTCTGCACACGTACATAATAAAGCAAATATTAACCTAGTAAATAACCTGCAGAAAAAACACCAGCGAACAAATATTACAGATTCCTAAAATTCAATAAAAACATAAACATGCATCTGTAACATGTCTTCAAACACGGTGTTGCCAGTAAACGTTACAAGCATTGAATAATTCTAGTGTTACCATATAATACAACGAAAATTAAAAAATAAACGGACGCAGCACAACAAGCACCTTGTAATCAATAGCATTTACATTAGAGTATTATATATTTAATTACAACTTTTTTTTGATAAATTTTCTCAATTATATTTTCATTATGAAAAAACTACACATGGCAGAGGAATTTCAACATTTTCACCTTAATTTAGGTCGGAATATCACAATATTAGACCGGAGACTGGCGACTGGCGTTAGTGCGCTCTCAGACACCTCCCCCGGTGGCACAACTCCCCCACAACAATTCCCCTTTTTGGACAACTCCCCCATTTGAACAACAACTCCCCCAGTCGCACAAAAATTCCCCCAAATGCACTAAAACCTGCTTGAGCACACTAACGCCCTCTACAACACCGCAACGCCCTCTCCAAACACCAACGAACAATAGAATACTATAAAATTAGCTTACGTACTGACAGCGCCGGATATCATTTGATATATCTCACTAAAAATATGTAATGAAACATTTTTTGTTTTAAAAAAACTATAAAAAGCACTTATAAAAGTTGCGCATGCGCATAAATAAACATAAAAAATTAAGTGGCACTTTAAAAATTAAACATTAAATTAAATTAAATCAAAAATGGCGGTCATTTGACAGATGTCGGTTTAAAAACTCCTCCAAAGTCGGTCACATTAAACTGGTTTAATCTATTTATTTGACGAACGAGAGAAGTTTGAAACGCGACCATAAGATAATCCAAAAACTACATCGTGATTTTAGAATTTACATGTCTTTTATAATCTGTAGTGCAATTTTCAATTGTTTTTTTAACTGGCAAGACTGGCACAATAAATGAAATTAATTATAGTTTTATATCAAGAGATATCCGGCGCGTTCAAAACTATCAAACATTAACACCTAGAGCACTAACGTGCTATAAGACACTTTTCATTAAAATTGTAATGATTCAAATTTCCCCAGGACCGAGTTTTAAGTCATCAAAATCATTAAAATACAAATTTCGGTCCATTAAATATAAAATTTAACACGATGGTTTAAGAAAAAACACGTCAAATACGTAACTCGCGTTTATCATTAACATTTTCATCATTAAAATTTTAATCATTAAAAATTTTAACATTAAAATTTTAATCATTAAAAATTTTAACATTAAATTTTTTAACATTCAAATTTTAATCATTAAAATTAACGTCGTAATTTTAAAATGATTTTTATCAAACCATTCTTTAATGAAAATAATAAATCTATTCATTAAAACATTGTTACATCTAGTTGATTGATAAAATTACCATATTTTTGACATAAACAGAAATATTCCAGATAAAGTAAAAATTAAATTCCTATATGCTATTAGCTAATAAGATAAAAATATATAGTATTGTTATAATTAAAAACATAATTGTTGATTCCTTAAAACATTTTTACTTGAAAGAAATTTAAATTCAATTATTTCAATTTATTTTGTATATTTCAATCATATTAAAAGTCAGTCCCGGGAAATTTGCTGATACAAAAACTGGCTCGAATTTATTTTGACAAAAACCCCCCACAGGATGTTCCTAAACAATAAAAAACGATACACCAAAACGTTAATTTAATTAAAATTTTAATCGGTTTTTCAACACTTAACCCTTTAAAACGCATTTCCTTTCAAATCCCATTAAAAATCACACAAATTTAATAAAATAAAAACACCTTACATAAAAAACTGTATAGAGCGAGCCAGATTTTGTACCAGTATATATTTCCGTGAATCCGCACACATGCCACAAAATAATCGTACCTCTTTTCCTTCACAAAGAAAGAACGAGACATTTAATTAAAGTATTACAAACACACTGTATAACCAGCATTTGAGTTGGCACGTCGAATTAAAGTGTATTCTTTTATTCCATGTGCCAACTCAAATGATAACCGCACTTAGACATTAACCGCCTTACAAGTAAACGAGGTATAAAGGTAAACTTAGGAATATTTGCTTATAGTAAGTTTAATTTTATACCGCATTTATTTGTAAGGCTGTAAATGTTGCTTTATAGCCAATTAGCAGCACTTAAACTGGACTGACAAACTGGCATGTTATTAACTGATGCCAGTGAGGTCATATCATTTGTAAAATTTTTTAGCTTTAATGGACGTATCCGACGTGTAACGTGGTTGTTGGCGTAATTTGGTTGTTGGCGTAATGTGGTTGTTGGCGTAATGTGGTTGTTGGCGTAATGTGGTTGTGGCGTAGTGTGGGTGTTGGCGTAGTGTGGCTGCATCAGTTGCGGTGCGGCGTGAGCGCCTTGTAGTCGTAGTTGCAGCCGTGCACCTCTGCGTAGCGGTGCGGCGCGCAGTAGGCGCCTCCGCAGCGGCAGCGGTGCTCCGTGGCCGCGCCGAGCCGCCGCCGGCAGACGCCGCAGCGCAGCCGCCGCAGCTTGTGCGGCTGCGGTTGCGGCTGCGGCTGCGGCTGCGGACACTGCGGCGTCAGCTCCAGCCGCTCGTCGCTCAGGTGTAAGTGCTCGCGGTTGCGGTGCCGGCTCAATGCGGGCAGGATTCTGCAAAAATAATGTCAATATTTTAAATATACAGTTATAGTTAAAAACGTTGATTTTTAAGCACAAGTAAGGATTCTGCTTGCATTGTATTATTTATTTGCATATACACACCGTGTGAACACATTATTATGTAATGTTACATGCAAAAATACTTATATATTTTTTTTAAATTGTCTATCAGGTTATCTCTGGTACGGCTAAGCAGATTTCAATGACCCTGTAACTAAAAGCTGAAGGGAAGCTGATGAACGCAAGAATAATATGTCTAATAATTGACTAAAACTAAAAACAAAATAACAATAGTACCTAACTAGTCTTGTTAATATTATAAATGCGAAAATTAGATGAAGGGGTAAATATTTGTTAGAGTTTGTAGCCTAAACGGCCGAACAGACCTTGATGAAATTTGGCATTGACGTAGAGGACAGTTTGGAAAGACACAGTCTACTTTTGTTCGGTGTGTTAGAAGAAACAAAACACTTGAATTCGCCAAAATGGCGAAGTTAGCCCATAGACATTCGCATTAGCGGATATTAATAGTGTTATAATACCTGTTCCGTGTGAGTGTCTCGAGGTCGGAGGTGGAGGCGGAGAGCGGCGCGGGCGGGCGGTGCGCGCCGCACGTCAGCTGCGAGCTGGAGCCGTAGCCGCGCCGCCACGCCCCCGCCCCGCCCACTGCGCCCGCGCCGCCCCCACCGCCACACCCCGCACCGCCCACTAACGCACCTGTACACACATCAATATTATAATATACGTATTTAATTGATACTGTCGCTGTAAACTCAGAGCAACACTTCTCGCCAGACCCAGGTTGCGCGCCAATCTATCCAAACTTCTAGTGACATTGACAGCTGTCAGCTAGGGACGTGACGTTTATGACGATAATCTAGAGTTGCGCCAATTCTACAGCACGGTAATAACATTATATAGCTTAGTAAAACTGATAACACGCTTATTGAAACCAGGTAAACTTGTATTATTAATTTAAAACTATACAAAATTCAAAGACAATATATGATATCGTCGGCCAGTATAGAAATAATTTCTCATTTTCAACGAATTCGATTAATTTTTAAAATGACTGTTTCGGGCGTTTTCAATGGGACCTAACGGTTTACAAATTATAAATAAAAATTAATACCGTATTTAGACGCGGGTAGGGGTGCGAGGGCGGGCGTGGGGGCGGCGCACTCCCGCACCACGCCCTCCTCGCTCTCACGCCCCTTCACCAGGATGGACCCCGCCAACGTCTCCGGTAACTTGAACCTGAAATGATCATTTAGAAATTACAAGATGTTATCTTTTACCCGCGTCTTAGTTTGGGAGAAATTAAAATATCAAAGTTATGTTTCAAGATATCTTCTACATCTGTGACTTTCATTGGGATCTGTTAAGTTAATTTGCAGAGAAAAGTAACAAACTTCTGCATTTATATAAAAAGATAAATTTGAATATAACCTTATTTTAAATATAAACTCATATTCGACATAAGTGACTAGCGCGTACCATCCTTCGACCACATCTTCACCTTGGTCTAGGTGGGATAGTGGTCAAGCGCTGGTTTTTGCAATTAAAAAAAAAAAGTGAGCATTAATGATTTGTTTTAGTCAATCTGCCCGGTCTAACCAAAACTAACTTAAAAAACCACATCAACAAATATTTCAATATGAAAAAGTCACAAAATACTTGTACACCTGTTACGCGTCTTTTCTTTATAAGAAACTGAAGGTATTGCTCGCGACTTTGCCCGCATGAAAATAAAAAAATAACAAAAAAAGCCTATGTTACTCGCTGATAAATTACCTTTCTAACGTTAAAAGAATTTTCTAAATCGGCCCTAGTAGTTTTTGAGTTTCAATACATACAAAAATACAAATCTTTGACGGAACAAACTGCGAATTTACCACAGAGTATTAATGACCTGTCTTTGTCGATCATGTTTGCAAATATTACATAATCTTTGACAGAGCAAACTTCGATTTCACCACAGAGTATCAAGGACCTGTGTTTGTCGAGCATGTCTGCAATATTACATAACCTTTGACAGAGCAAACTTCGAATAACCACAGAGTATCATTGACAAAACAAATTGCGAATTCACCACAGAGTATCACTAACCTGTCTGTATCGAGCGTGTCCGCGAGTGTGTCTGCGAGCGTGTCCGTGAGCGTGTCCGCGAGCGAGTGGTTGGAGTGCGCGCGCGCTCGTATCGGCGGCAGCAGCGTGTAGCGGTCGTAGGCGCGGTCGTAGGCGCAGGCGCAGTCGCAGTCGTAGCGCTTGTAGCACTCGTAGCCGTCCTCCAGCAGACTGGGCACGGAGAGCGTCTCCTCGCTTCTCGTCTTCTGGATATCTACTTGATCACCTAAAAGTAAAAAATATGAATTATTTCTATTAACTTAAATATTATTGTATACTAGCTGTTCCCCTGCGACTTCATCCGCATAAAACTATGAAAATTTTATTTTATTGTTTATATGTGTCAAATTATCCAATGCAAATGTCAAAATGACATGACGCTGACAAACCATGGCAACTTTACTTGTTTCTTTCCCACATTAGGGTTTTTTTTCCAAAATATTTACCCCTAAGTTTTAGGGCGTAAAAATATATAGCCTGAAGCGTGATGTAAGTGTAGGGTTTTTCATTAAAAAAAGAATTATTTAAAAATATGCCATAATTGCTTACATCTTAGGCAACAAAGAAGTGTGTGACAGTAGATAAGTATAGATAGAAGAGACATTATTTTGTACCACAAGTGTTTGATTCTACCTATCTATATAAAACACACGCACTTGTTATACATGATGTAAGTAATCATAGTATATTTTTTAATAATTCTTTTTTTTAATAAAAAGCCTTACCCTTTCGACAAGGTTTAGGATATATATTGTCACGCTATTTAACTTAGAAGGTGAGTAAATTGGAAATAAAAGCTCTGGGAGAAAGAGACAAAAACTGCAAGCCAATAACAACAAGAAAAATGGCATTGATTACTTAAATTATCTGCCAAAGGCAAGAGGTTTTGTTGTCATTTGAGCGGTCAAATATTGGGATTATTCCCAACCGTCTCCCCGTTGTGTCCCCCACAGGGGGACAGACGAGAAAATAGTTTCACCCGTCCCACCTTTTACACCCACTATCACCAATAAGCTGACAGATAGAACCATTAAGAAATAAAATAAGTTCCAACCTTCCCACCGTCGCAAAAGGTAGTATGTATGATACGTTTAATTCTAATCTGTTTCCACGTGGGGACAGAGCGAGGTGACGGATGTGAATGTAAATAATAAAAATAATTTATTACAATGTCAATTTTACCGTATCAAATTGAACCATGAACGATATTATATGAAGTTATGACGTAATCACCATTTATGACGCTAATTTCAGAATAAAAGGCTGTGTATTATGACGTAATAACCTGGTCTGTGGGGAGCGCGTCTCCTGTGCAGGGAGAGGGACTCCATGCGGCGGCGCAGGTCCAGCATCTTGCCCATAGTGACCGCGTTCTCCGGCAGCGCGCCCGCGCCCGCGCCCCCGCCCCCGCCACCGCCCGCGCACTCGTCGTCCTCGTGCTCCACCAGGTGCGACAGGGACGACGAATCTGAACGCAAAGTTAAACAAAGATGGAGATAGTCGTTTCGATGCGTAACAAAAACTAACGCTGTTTATTTCACAACTAGCTGTTGTTCGCGACTTCGCCTGCGTCAAATTAGGTAAATAGTGAAAACATAGTCTATGTTACTCAGTGGTAATGTAACTTTTTAATGGTGCAAGAATTTTCGAAATCTGTTGTTTTTGAGTTATTCCAATACATACAAAAATACATAAATACAAATTATTCCCCTTTATAATCTGGTGTAGATGAAATGTAATTTAATGTCGTCGTTAAATTGATTAGTTAAGCAATTGACCCTATTTACATCAAAGTTAAGCGTTTCCGTCAAGATACGATAAAAAATTGTAAAAACCATTAGAAATAAAAAACTTATTTGTAGTTGCTGGAAGTTTTTTTTCTTTATTTTTTACTCAACCGATAATGACTGTAGACTATACCGGTCAACTTTTTCTAGGTTATAACATATCATTTGACTCGTACTTTTCCCGTATGTTAATAGTATAACAATGCTCACATTTAGCATGGTCCAGCGGAGAGAATGTACCGTCCCTGTTCTCGCGCATGCGCACCATGTTGACGCGCTCACCGTCGCGGAACACCAGCACGGCCACCTTGCACTCCCCACCACCACCACTACCACCCTCGCTGCTCCACTCTAAGTCGTCTCTGTAACATTATAAAAATACAGAAGTGGTAGCAGTGAAGGGAAACATCAAAATGCAACCTGCACATATCAGTGAATTCAAATATATGTGTGAAGTCAACCAACCTTCTGTGCAGCATGACATAGCCATGTCACCCTAACTTAGAGTACTCCGAACCCCTCAGTGGAGATTTATAGTGAGCTGGTGATGATGATGAAGTGTCACATTAATGCCCACACTTCAAGTACAATAAAACATACTGTAAATATCTTGAAAGTCAAACTTTTAGTTTGACTAATGTGTATAAAAAATACAGAGTGTGCAAGATTCGAAATAAGTATTTTTAGGCCCAGTTCCACTGTTAAAGTAATATTTAGTAAACTCACCTATCAGGAGGAGGTATCTCGGGTGGTGGAGGCCTGCGCGTGGTGACGGGACCGCCGCGGAGTGCCAGCACGAGACGAAGGCGTGCGCCCGCTGCCACGCCATGGTCACGTAGCGATGCGCCATCAGCCAACTCCCGTAAGTTGTATACTAAATGCTGCTGGGATACTGGGATACCTGGAAACATCATTAAAAAAAAATAAGTCAAATTTTTTATACCATAATATGACAAACAGGCAAGTAGCCAGTATTCCCCAAATCAGCGATGCAACCACTGCTTTGATATCTATATTTACAGTTATATTGTTTTTAATTACAGACCTTTAATAATCAGAGGCGACAGGAAATCTAGTATTTAACAACATACCTGTTTTGTTTTACAACACACAATAAAATAACAATCATTCTTTAGTATACAAGTATAGTAAAACAGGAAATAGGCAATACTTGGCATAGATATAAACACAAGTGTTGTAACAGTGTGACAATGAATCACAAGGCTGGCGCAAGGCCAGGAGAAAACACCTGCCACATCACATATAAAAATACACAAAAGATTGGCTAATCGGGAATTGCATCATTTTTTAAATGCAAGCATAGCAAGATCTAAAAATGCCGCATTAAATGAGGGCAGTCTATAGTTATTCTAGGTCTCCAATACTAAATTTTAAATGAATAATTTTTTTTTTTATTATTATACATATTTTCTCTATATTAAGATTCTAAGGAGTTTGAGGCATGTATTCCATAGAAGTAACATTTATGTATAATTCCATGTATAAAACAAAAACTGGTTCATTTTTATCTAGATCAAGTTAAACATATGTGATATTTTTTAAATGTCATTTAATTCCATTGTTTACCGTCCTTGTAAGCAATCAAACAAATGATTATATTGTACAAACATTCTTAACCATAAATGTAGGTATTTATATAACATCACAAGCATTGAACATATATTTAACTATGACTCACTAAGAGAAATATGTATCAAAACAAAATAAAAGGAAAGGTGACACAAAACTTAATAAAAAAAAAAACAATTATTTGGTACTTTATCACATTGTTTCACTGTGAGTTTAACTTGGAAAACAAGTTCTTAAACACATTTTTACAATCTAAAAAAAAATTTCATCCCTTTCATTTACCTTCAACAAATAGAGACAACAGTTCTTGTGACAATGAGTACTTGGCATACCTTAACCATCTTTCCATCTTTATCCTACTCTATTCTAAGTTCTAAGGTCTACATACCAGGATTAAGTTCTCCAGGTTTATCTTCTGTCATCACTCCCTTCTTGATCACACACCTTTCACACAATCCATCCATCTCTTTCTAGGCCTACCTCTACTGTAAATCCACACTCATTATTATTTGTCTTGATACACATGATTCATCCCTCCTCATAACATGCCCAAACCATACTAACACAGTATATGTTATGGATAGTTATATCTTACTAATATAAATGCAAAACTTTAGATGTGTGGATAGATGTTTTTTAGAGTGTCTCTGGAATGGGTCAATGGATCTGAATGAAATTTGGCACAGTTGTAGAAGAATACATAGGCTTTTTAAGCAAACACCTTGGACTGGAGACCACTTCAATATTTCTAATGTTACACACATTAAACTAAAAGTTGTTGCATTCCAAAATAAGGGGTTTTTATATATCTCAGACTGACTATTTTTAACATGGTTTTATTTTATTTGTTACCTAATATTATGTTAAGAATGTGAGCAGTAATTGGATGCAGTTAATCCTCTCAGATGCCTTAGAACTGAATGATGACCCTGATATAATGTAAAATTTATGACCTCACATCACTGAGGGTAGTATATCAGGATTTAGAAGATTTTAAACAATTTTTATATATAAATTCATGTTACACCATAAGTTTCCACTGGTAAAACACAGTAAGTAATATTTAAGTAGTGTAAGTTATATTTAGATTAAAGAGGTATCTTTTTATGTACTCTAAAGGGGTAGATAGAGGTAAAAATAAGTTGTCCTAATGTCCTACAACAAAGTTGAAAAGTTTTTTAGATAAAAAATGTATGGACTTTGTACACATTCCTTAATAAAGTGAACATCACTTATAAAACAGCTAACTTATAACATTGATTGTAATGTATTTATAACTTATATAAGTTTAAGGAAAAAAAATTGTATACAAAAAAACTAATCCAATAAGTGTAACTTTAGTATACATGTTTGACATTTTGTAGGACATATTTATTATACAAGTGAGTCATATTGTTATCTTGTTGAGATCAGTAATATTTGGGCAACAGTCACCAATTACCAGGGATCAATTAAGGATTTGGCTAAACCAATTGACGTCTTCCAAAGTTCAATGTTAAGGCACTTTAAAAAGAAAAGAAATAAAAAAGTTGTGTAATAGATGAAGGTGCAGCTTACCTTCCACCCGAAATATCTTCGATTTAATAGCAAATATAGTATCAGAAGGAGATACTGTCATTTCGAAAGCCGTACCCGTAAGGGTCTCCACCAATACCTCCATAGTGGGCTGACTTGGACCATCCTCTTGGAAACCTTTCGATCTATTGGACAGTCTCTCAGGGTATCCATGTTGTGACATTTCACACGCGGTACACAACCAAATCTATCTACGCAACATTGTAATTCCGAGAAATGTATACCACTTAAATTATGATAAAATATATAGCCACAGTTCTTGAACAATCACTTGATGACGATGTAAACATGTGTTTGTTCGTTGCTAAGTGGTAACATCAAACCCTATATTTGGTGGAACACAAAGAAAATTTTAAAACTTTAAACTATTATAATTATAACAAAAATAATATTACACAAACAACGATTGAACTGAATGTATGAAATGTAAGAAAGAATAAGAACTTTTTTCGCACAGAGCACAGACAACAAAAAATTTAGAGTTGGCTAAAACACAGATACAAAAATGAAAGGAATGAATGACAGAATTAGCATAGACAAGAGGTTATTTTTTGTATTGCATTGAGTTGTTTAACACCAGACAGGGACAAAACAAAACTTGAATTTCCAGGTCTATGTGCTTTGTATAAACGAGAAAATACGAGTTTTCCAGTAACGGAGCTGTTTAATTAACCCTGTTTTACTTTTTTCTTGACGGAAAAACCACAGATTACTAAATCGAGAAATCGGAAATGAACTATCATTCAACTTTTCATTCACAATTGTCTATGGTCTTAGTTTCTTTTCCGTCGTTCTTCGTTTACAGTGAAGGAGGTTAGAAATATGGTGCGTAACATTTTATTAAAAATAAAGCATTAAACCATTTTAAAGTGATTGTAAACTGTTATCATAACATACATAGTGTTAATGTAAAAACCTGTAATCTTGTTATGGCTTTTGATGATAGATAGGTGTTAGTTTGTCATGGCGGCACAACCCGAACATGTGGCTTCAAAGTAAAATTCTGGTTACAGACTCGCAAACGCCGCAATGGAGGACGCGCCAAGCACGGCCGTGGCCACGTTAAGGCCGTAAGGTGCACAAACTGCGCGCGATGCGTGCCCAAAGACAAAGCCATCAAGAAATTCGTGATCAGGAACATTGTTGAGGCGGCTGCCGTCAGAGATATCAATGAAGCCTCCGTTTATACTTGTGAGTATAACAACACATTATAAGTAATTTAGTATTAAAAATGAGTTAAGACTAGTGTACCTGTCAGAAGAAATGATACGGGTTAGAATAAGGTTTATTCTGGCTGTTTATCCATAACAAGCCTATTTGACCGTGGATTTCCACTGCTGAAACACGTGTAACACAACATATTGATATCTCTCTCACTCCCATTGGAAGAGAAATGACAACAATGTTTTTGCAAGGGTTTTTGATAGAAGCCTACATTAAAGATTACTTCTAATTAACGCTAAAATCCTTTAACCATTCCTTATTCTGAATTTTACAGGACTTGTAAATATTAGTGATTATTATAATATTCTTTATAATTATTTATTCTATATTCTATATATATATTATATATATTCTATATAATTATTCAATTAACAAGAACAAATATAGTAAAATCAAGTTCAACCATAAAATTGTGTTGCTGTCAAGATATATGATATAATGTTAGTTAATAATTTTTTATATTTCTGCAGCATTCCAGCTCCCCAAGCTGTACGCCAAGTTGCATTACTGCGTGTCATGCGCTATCCACAGTAAAGTTGTGCGTAACAGATCCAAGAAGGACAGGCGTATCCGTACACCGCCCAAGAGCACCTTCCCCAGGGATATGCAGCGCCCACAGAATGTGCAGAGAAAGTGATTTACTTTAATTAATAAAAATATAAAAAGTTACATTGTTGTTTTATTTTATAGTCTATATGGACTTCTAGAATGTACATCTGTGACTTTCAGTGAGATTGAATGAGTGGAAATATGTAGTAACATCTATCCATCCAAACTTTTGTAATTTAAATTAAGTTTTTTAAGTCCAATGTTTAATTTTAGAGACAATATAAACAGAAAACGTTGAATGGCAATTTACATGATAATATTTTGACCTGAATCTCTCAAAACTGTATGTCTGGACAGGGAAAAACTGGTAATTCATACCTACTTGATTTTCGCCATTTAGGCGCTGCTCTTAGATTGATAGTGGAAGTGAGGAATAAACCTATTAATATAAATGTAAAAGTGTAGATGGATGTTAGCTAGAGTTTATAGCCTAAAAGATTGTATTCTTGATGTATAGCATAATGTATAGGACATGTAAGAAAATCTGGAAGAACACAGGTTACTTACATTTTGATGCCAGCGGACAAAGTCGCGGGCCAACGCTAGTCTAATAATAAGGATGGTAGTTAATAACGTTAAAAAACACTTTAAATTTAGGATGAAGCAAAAACAGCCTTCCAACCTATCCACTGTACTCTTGATATATAGAAACTGTCAAACTTCAATAAATCTGTTATTTAACAGATATGCTAATAGAAAATCTTCCCATTGAAATGGAAAACAGCAAATTAAACTTATAATTAAAATAAAAACAACGTTTTTTATTATATTTTTATTCTAGCTAGCATATTACAAGTAAGGCAAGGACTACCTACTGACATTCCCGCTTACAACTAAAAAACATTGCCAATACATATCTTTAGTAAAAAATATATTAAAGTAATATAGTACACAAAAGTTTTCCAGATGCTCAGTATTCACATAGTACATTAAATGTATGGGATTTCGTGTATCCCACTATTGTGGGTCAAAATGCGTGAATTTACTATTGCGGAAATTTTTAAATTTCAGAGTAAGTTATGCATTAATTTTAAACTGGACAGTTAAAAAGTGTAAACAAATTTTACCTACATATTTAACTGTACAATTGAACCTAAAAGTGTGTGTGTCTTGAACATTTTAACATATAAAGTACATAATATCTCTTATAACTTAATTGTTACTTTTTGCATTTAGAAAGTGCATCAGAACTTTATGTGCAAATTGAAAGATTTTCATGAAATTATAAATTTATTTCGAAAACTACAATTTAAAAAAAATGTACCTACAGCTTGTTATATATGATATGTAGATAAGAAAAATTTAATTCAAATTGCATTAGAATTCATATTAGTTAAGATGGCACCCAATAAAATGCTGTAAAAACCAAATTTTCGAAAATACGATAGCATAATAAAAACTAAATTAATATATTGAAATGAAAAAATACAAATTTTAGGTTTTTGCATTGAATGAATACTACTTACAAAAATTTCATTTTTCAGTTCATTAAAAAGTTTTTAAATGTTGCCATTAAAGTTGTCAGAAAAAAAACTACTTTAAACTGAATTATTAGATGCTGAAGAGTGTGGTATTTGAAAATATTACCTAAAATCTATATTACACTTTTAAAAACATTATCAAGTATAGATAAAATTCTACAAGACAAGACCAACAGTCTACAAACATTGATTATGGACCTTTAATTTTGTATATAGTCTGTGGCAGCTTGGCCATGGTCGGTTTGTCCACAGATTCTAGAGCATGCTTCAGATTCTTTTCAAACACCTTCTTAGCGTCACAGAAACCTTGCTTAGTTTTGCCGAAGGAATTGGGTCCTGCTGATGTTGGTGTCTCCCTGCATTAAATAAGACAAACTATTTTAACAATCTTTACAATGTCTATAATACAAAAAAATTATAAATGAATGAATGAATGATGAAATATGAGTTGTTTGACTGGATCCTTTCCTTAGTTAAGATATCTCCATCTAATTATAGTAATATTACATAGGAAAGATTGGTATTATTGTTTGTAAGTAATAAACTCTAAAATTACTGCACCAATTTTAAAAAAATAAATTAGAAAGCTACAATTACTATATTCAAGGTTTTTTAAAATTCCAAGCATACAAATGTGGACAAAATTTATTTATTATAAAGTAAAATTGATGTTCAACACCCATTTATAACTTAATAGTAATCACATAAATCTTAAAACAAGTATAAATTACCTTCCGATATTTCTCATCCTCATGCGGGCCTCCGCCGGCATCTCTTCAGGTTCCTCATCATCATCATCAGCATTGAACACTGATGCAACTGAAGGCTTTGCATTACCAGGAGCCTTAGATGACATTCCCAGTGTCATCTTAATGGGTGCTTTAGGTTTGGTGAAGCCAATAGAAATCTTACTGATGCGTGGAGGTGGTGGCGGTGCTGGCACTTCTTCATCAGATTCCTCCCATTTGTCTACAGTACTTTGTTTATCTAAAATTGAACGAGATGATTGATTGATTGAGATGCGACTTTGATATTGTATGTTAAATTTACTTTAGAGTTAATAATGTTTATTTAGTTGTCAGGACATCTCAAATTCTTTTCCAATCACAACAGCAAACATAACTTTAATGTTTAAAAGTAGCATGTATTGTATTGCTTTAAATTCAGACAGAATACAAGCTACAAATTATAAGTGTATTATTTCGTATATAACATTAAGATAAAAGCATTCAAATGCAATTATAACTTGTGAGATGATTGTAAGTAGTCTCCCGTTGTCTCTTACCTCTATGTTCCCGACTTCTAGAATCTTCTCTTGCATCCCAACGCCCGGTGTGCGGTGACCTCCGCTTCGGAGATCGAGACCGAGACCTCGACCGCCGCCTCTCCCTGCCCGCTCTAGAATCATCACGCGCGGATCGAGTTGACCCTGCCAATGCGAAAACACTGGCAAAGATAAATAAAATATATGCATTTTAGTAATAACATCTAGTGAATAAGTTTTTTTCCTCTTTTGGAATAATTTAAGGGGGCCTTACGAAATACATTCGAATACCTTTGTAGATGCGATCGCTCATTTTGTTCTTTATATATTAACTGTCCTCGTTTTATTTGGTAATAAACTGGCCTAAGTAAACATTTCTTTATCTAAGATATATAAGAACTGCGTTTTACACGAAATTGGAAAGAAGTTGAAAAGTCAATCCAAAACTCAAACGTCAAACAAATGTCATCGCCATGTTTGATTTATTTTAATTAAAAAAAAAAAGTCTTAAGACGATGACATCTTGCGCACTTATTGTTTAATGTTTAAAGTTGAATTTTTTATTTTAGTTTCACTTTAGCTTTTCATTTTTATTAAAATAATCTGTTACCACTTTAATACACTGAGCAATCATAAATTAGTAAACTTATCAAATAATATCCATTATTTTGATCAATCGATGTCTGTGTCTTTGACAGCTGGACAGCTGATTTGAAATAAAACATTAACTTTATTTCAAAAAGATTATAGGTTAGGTTTTACTAATAATAGTTCTTTTTTGGTTAATTTATGCAATTATTTAAATAAAGAAAGATTAAAGTCAACTTCAGCAATATGTTTTCTCTCCGATGGTCTACACTTCTAACAAAACAGTATCTTTATCCGTCTTACCTGTGCAGATGTAACTCTAACAAAACTCGTCTTGACTTGAAAGAAAAGTTGAAAAAAGGGCCTGATTTAAAAGATTTTATTCTAGCTTCCTCCGGAATTAAGGAACCCACAGATTTAGATCCTCCAGAAATACCTTACTTATCAAATATTCATAAAACAGAGACGAGAAAAGTTTTCTTCGATGTATATGGTTGTCAGATGAACCTTAACGATACTGAAATTGTGTGGTCTATTTTGAAGAAGAGTGGATTCCAGAAGACGGAGTTAGAGGAGGAAGCCGATATATTCCTCGTTATGACGTGCGCAATTAGAGAAGGCGCTGAAAGCAAGATTTGGCATCGCTTAGATCATTTGCGTGGATTCAAAAGGCGACGTGCGATTTCGAAACATAACAAAAAACCAGTAAAAATCGGTATATTAGGCTGTATGGCGGAGCGATTGAAGGAGAAGTTAATCGAAAAGGAAAAAGCTGTAGATGTTGGTAATTTTTTCAAAGATTAATTTCAGCTTTTATTTGATGTAATTAGCATTATAATTATTGTTAGTTAAAAATACTTTAGACTCAAAAATAAATTAATAGTAGGGTTGCCAACAGGGATACAGCAGCTGTAAAAATCAAGCCAATAAGGTTTACAAAAGCTTGTGACCCTGTGAATTGGATAAGGCCTAGTAGGTGTATATTTTAATTTTGTTACCAGTGGCTGGACCTGACAGTTACCGAGACTTGCCAAGGCTACTGGCGCTGACGGAGAGTGGGCAGACAGCTGTCAATGTATTGCTTTCACTGGATGAGACATATGCTGATATTATGCCAGTCAGCTTGAACCAGAATAATGTCTCTGCATTTGTGTAAGTTTTACCTGGATATTAAAGGTTGGGTAAAACAATTATGATTTGCCTTAATTGTATCTAGAAGATAGGCAACTGATAATGTTGTAGTCTTTAAAAGATCCAGAACTCCTAATTACTCAGAGATTTTAGGAGAAGAAATCTTACAGTAAAAAGTCTTAAAATTAAGCTACAATTTCTTAATTGTTAATGTAGCATAAGTGTAATTATACAAATTAAGCGAAAAGGACTATGCAGATAATTGGCCACAAAGCTAGTGGTGTAGGAAACAGTGGCATAGGCCTATAATAATGTAAGGAACACCCTTAGTGTCTAACTCTGAGTGTTAATCTGTTTTCAGTTCAATAATGCGTGGTTGCGACAACATGTGTACTTACTGCATAGTGCCATTCACAAGAGGTCGAGAGAGATCAAGACCAGTTACTTCTCTTCTAGAAGAAGTCAGACATTTGTCGGGAAGAGGTGTGAAAGAGGTCACCTTGTTGGGGCAGAATGTTAACAGTTATAGAGATATTACTCAACAGTCTGAACCAGCGGCCACACAGTTAGCTAAAGGTAAACTATAGATTTATCCCGACTTTGTCTATGGAGTTAAGAAATCTACTAATTTTGTCTATGTGACTCAGTGATAAATTAGCTTCCTAATAGTAAGAGATTTTTTAAAATCAACCCAGTTGTTTCTGTGTTTCTTAATTACAAGCAATAATACAAATTTTTCCTCTCTGTAATATACATATAGATTTTTTTAATAAAATCTATCATACTGTTTACTAATATAATGTGAAAGGTTAAATGGATGTTTGAGAGTTTGTGGCCTAAATGTTTCAATGGATTTAAATGAAAGTTGGCATAGATGTAGAGTGCAGTCTGAAAGAACACATTAGCTACTAGTTTTTTTTTAATTCAACGCGGACAGAGTTGTTGGTGAAAGCTAGTATGCTAAAATAAAAATTATACAAACAATAATTACCTTTATACAGGCTTCAAAACAGTATACAAGAGTAAGAAAGGTGGCCTAAGATTTGCAGATCTATTAGACAAGGTGTCTGCTATTGATCCCGAAATGAGAATAAGGTTCACTGCCGCACATCCTAAAGATTTCCCTGATGAGGTTTGTATTTCAAAATGACATACTTTTTAATACAAGTAAGACTAAGTGTAGGGCTTTTTATTATAAAAATAACTATTTAAAAATATTTTGTGATTGCGGACATCCTATATAACAAATGTGTGATTCTTTTTTATATTAGTACAGAATGGTGAAGGGGAAAGGGACTAAAATCCTCCATCATTCATTTAGAGTGTACATGGAATTGCTCCCACTTTACATTGCACCTATTTGACATTTGTTGGCGTCTACCAGTGTTAAGTTAAAAGCGATGTAATTAGGTCTTTATGGTCTAGGTATTAGATGTGATATCAGAGAGGCCTAACATCTGCAAACTGCTGCACCTGCCTGCGCAGAGCGGCTCCAGCTCCGTGCTGGAGAGGATGAGGCGAGGATACACAAGGGAGGCCTATTTGGAACTTGTAAAGACCGTTAAAGAGAAGATACCAGGTGGTGAGTGTATAATATTTGACCTACCCACAGTTTTCTTACCTTATTTGATTATTGTCCTATGCATTTCTTTGATTAGAACATCTCTAATATTCAATTTCCCATTGAAATGAACAAAGAATATTTAATACCATGTAAAAAAAATTACATTATGAATCGTAATTAGATCTTAGTTTTATAAACTTTTCCAGTTGGATTATCAACGGATATGATATGTGGCTTCTGCGGCGAGACGGAGTTAGAATTTCAAGAAACATTGTCATTAATGGAAATAGTTGATTATAATATAGCATTTTTATTTCCATATAGTATGCGAGAGGTGAGTTTATATTAGTTAAATTTGTTACCATTAATTTTATTTACATTTTTAAGACTTGAAAATTGTAAAATCCTGCTCGAAGGACCATTTGTTAATATGGTTAATATTACGAGTTTCTTGTATTAATTTGAAATCAGAAGCAAAATGTTTAGATGTGCCCATGTAGATTTATTTATAATAAAATGTTTTAAATGTTGTTTTACGTAGAAAACCGCAGCATATCGTCGTTACAAAGACGATGTACCGGAGGAAGTGAAGAAAGACCGTCATAATAGAATGCTAGAAATTTACAGAAGGAAATGTCAGATATTAAACGAAGCTGAAATTGGGAAAGTACATCTAGTACTAGTTGAGGGTAGATTGAAAAAAACTGGCCAAATGATGGGTAGAAATGAATTTTATATCAAAGTTGTTTTTGATCAAACGGATATTTTATCAGAAGATGGCGGAAAACGATTAGTAAAACCTGGAGATTATGTTGCGGTGAAAATAACCTCGGCCAGGTCTTCTGTGATGAGTGGAATTCCTCTACATCACACTACTATACGAGACTTTTATAAAGAAATGAGTTGGAGTGAACGAAGTTCAAGACCATAGAGTAAAACAAGTCATTCAATTTGACAGTTCATTTAAGCACTAGAAGAAAATTAGATTTCTAAGATTATTCCCAATCTTCATCCCACGTGGGGACGGATAAAAATAAAAAGTTTCATCCGTCCCACGTTTTGCGACGAGGGGACGGTTGGAACTTATTTTATTTCTTAACGGATCCATCTGTCACCTTATTGGTGATAGAGGGAGTAAAAGGTGGGACGGATGAATTATTTTATTCCCATCTGTCCCCGTGGGGACAGATTGGGGCGACGGTTGGGAATAATCCGATTTCTAAAGTAATTTTCATGAAATTGTAATTATATACTTATGTTTTATAGTTAAGTTTAGTATTATTAAGCAAAAATAAATGTTTTTTTCAAATACGGTTTTTTATTTACGTCTGTTTTTTAAAGTTTTTTTTTTAATATATTTGCTACAAAAAGTTAATTAAATTGAAACTCAATTTGTGCTCGATGACACTTCAAAAGTGCATTTATTTAATTAATATACAAACCTTTATAAAATAAACACAATAAATACAAAAGTAAATACACAAAACAATAATTCTCTCCCCTTAATTCAGGATTATCTTATTTAGCACTTTTTACATTTTTACAATCAATAAGGCAACCCTTACATTATTATATATTAATTTTTAATCTATTAATTCTTGATACATGGCAACAATAAATTTAAATTTCATTTGTACTTTTATTTTTTATGACCTTTTAAGTGCTTGATTTTAATATTTTGTACTTATTAATAGAAAATTAAAAAGTAATTAAACTACGTCATGTAAAGTTTGACTTAGATTTGAAGTTAACAAATAGAAAATGAGTATTAACGTTAAACCAAACTAGAAGTGCCAATGTGTCCAATACCCTTCCCTGAGGGTAGTATATTTACTCTTTGTCCGGAGAGATTATCAGATCCTTCCACGTGGCCGGACAGGCTCGGCGATGGTCCTTGAGAACTTCCATACACTTTTGTGCTGTACCCAGAGTCATTGTGAGACTCTCTGTCCGTTTGACTCTGGGTTTCAGTTAAATGTGTGTTAATCGCCAAGGATTGCAAGCGGCTGTGAAGGAGATTGTGGTCTGGAGTTGGTTTTCTCGCGCCGTGTGGATTGCCCCTAAAGTTTGGATATACCGGTGGACGGTTACCGTAGTAACCGCCGAAATGTTCCGCTTGATTGGCGATTTCGATCTCCGTATTTTGGTCTAAATGATCGCCGTACCGATGCGGTATCCGGTCCATTTCTCTCATTATATGATCTTGCATCATTGCGTCGAAAACTCCCGTCTGATGGTGGTACAGGGGATTTCTGTTGCGTCCTTCTATTTGCGTCTGGGGAAGTCCCGGTTCGTTGTAATCGTATTGAGACTGACAAGGGTACTGAGTCACCGGGTGATTGTCTATTTCTCTGTAAGGCATTTGGTGATTGATTTGTCTGTTAGGAAGCTCATGGAAATATGCGTCTTTAGGAATCATGGGTCGAATGTCTTCCCCGTGGTAAGGCTTGCTTTGCGGCTGGGCTTGTTGCGGCGCAGGTGAATGGGATTTACTGGACATTGTTTCATAATTTGGCATCGGAAGGGTTTGAAGTAAATTGGAATTTCTCATGGGTCCCGGTTGATTGGAAGTTCTTATTGGAGTATCTTCTTCGTCGCTACTTTCAGAATTGTTGCCGTTTTCTTTGGGTGGTGTTTGAAATGTTTTTCTTGTCGGGAATGGTATTAGGTTGTGTAAACTAAATCTTTTGCTTTTTGGAGGTTTTTCTTTTAAAACGGGAGCCGGCCTCTGCGGTTGCTGTGGCATTTTAAGGATGCCAGGATGTGTTTTAGGCTGAACAATAGGAACTTCATGAAAGTCGGTGGGTGTTTTCTTCGTTAGAGGCATTCTTTCAGGTGAGGTACACCTCTGTTGATGTTCTACTTGAGCCACTAGTTCTTGAACGGATTTTCTCTGCTCCCTCTCTATGCAGTTATCGTCTCTAGGTGGATAACTGACTTGTTTGTGTAGCTTTACATAGCCATCATGTGATATGTCAAGAGATTTTGAATTTCTTGTCAATACATTTGACATCTCTTTCTCTAACATTACTCGTTTTCTGATATCCTCAGCAGTTCTCTGGAGCACTTGACTTTTCCATTGAGGTGGCGTTTGCGTGATTTCCTGGTGATTGCTTCTATGCCTTACGTCACCTTCGGAATCGCTCGCCTTAAAATCTGATTGTCGATTACTGCTGCCTGGTGATTTAGGAATAGACGGTTCACTTGGTAAAGCGTATCTTTCTGTAATACCTTGAATTTCAATAGAAACTGGTGATTCCGAGGTAACATTTTGATTTGCTTTAATATGTACCTCTGCTGTAACATTTTGCAAACGATTTTCTTCATCACATATGTGATTAGGTCTATAGTTACTCGGCCCGGCGTCTAGTTGGTCGCTACTTCGAGAACACTTAAGAAGATGCCTCCTTCTTGGACTCGTTGGGGATCTACTGTCTAAGCCTTCTGTGCTCTTAGATGTCACCTTACTCTCGTTTAACTCTTTGGTATTTTCGAATTGTTCAGTATTTTCATTGAAGCTCTTTATAATTCTATCAACTTTGTTCCAGTCTCCTGAGTTTACGTCTAATAATTCTAGACTTCTCGTTCTTTTAATAGGTGGTATATCTATGGACCCTTTCGGACTAAAGTCAAGTTTCCTTGTTCTTTCAGAAGCTCTGAACATCATTCCTCTTGTGATCCACTGCTCCAAATGTTTATGTCTTTCTTTACACAGCGCTCTCTCCGCGGCTACGAATTTCGTTAATTCGGAAATCTGCCCTTGAGTTTTCATTTCCAAATCTGTTACTTTTTGGTCCAATTTTTCGTGAGCTTTGTCAATGTGTCGTTTTAAATCTTTCTTGTCTTCGTTCAATTTTTCTTCCATGTGCTTAAAGAAGGGGGCACAGTAACAAGTGTAACCAGCTCCTATCGGACCTTTTTTTATGTTTCCCGCCAAATCCAAAAAGTACTGCTCGCCTTTTTTTAAAGGTTCGGTGGGTAGCGAGCTCAGTTTGGGTTTGGGGAAATACTTCGGATCGGGATAGTAATGGCAGCCGTAAGGCGACCATTGTACGGGCGGTGGTGTCGTTTCGAAGGTTACGTTCTTTTTCTTTTTATCTTTGCCTTTATCTTTCTTTTTGCCATCATCCGGTTCATCAATCGTCCTCTCTTTGCTTTTGTCTCTGTGCTTATCTTTTTTCTTTTGTTGCTTCGCTACTGGCGTGTTCAGAATGTTGATGATCTCTTCTAAACCTTTTCTAGTAGCGATATCTCGTGCGGTTTCCCCTTGATGGTTTCTTAAAGATTTATCGCAGCCCGCTTCTAGTAATATTCTGGTTAACTTGCGTCTGCCCATCGCCGCTGCGATATGCAGAGCCGTGTCGCCATTTTTGTTTTGCTCGGAGACTTTGCACTGCGCCGAGATGAGGATACGAGTGACACCGGCGTGGCCGTACCTCGCAGCTGTGTGCAGGGACGTATCACCATACTGTAAGGAAATAAACTGTTAGTAGAATAGATTTCATGCACGTAAATATTAAAGAAAAAGGTATTTAAAACACTGTAGTTATAGTTTCTTAATAGAAGATTGATTTAATTAGTACTAACATTGTTCTGTAAGTCGGGCTGTGCACCAGCGAGTAGCAGCTCCCGGCATGTCTGGTTATGTCCGTTCTGGCAGGCAAGGTGCAGCGGAGCGAAGCCGGCTGCGTTGCGCGCGCGCAACTCCGCTCCGCCCCGCGCGAGAAGTGCCGCGCATCGCGAATACCCCTTCCACGCCGCCTCGTGCGCTGCAGTGTTGCCGTGCTGGAATTTTAAAAATTAATAATATAAATCAATCGCTTATTATTAAAATTAATTTAGGATTAGTTCTCAGTGTTATTGGTAACTCGGGAGTAAATTCTCTTTGTATGGTAAGTATTAATGGTTGTTACTGACCACAAGGTCCTGCTTGTTGGGGTCTGCGCCGTGCTCGAGTAGCAGTCGCACCGCATCCACGTGTCCGTCCGCCGCCGCGCGCTGCACGCCGCTGCAACCATTCTGAAAAAATGTACAATAGTTACGATTTATTAAATTAACTCGCATAATGATGGTGTTATATTCGTATCGAATTTCTCTGGTTCATTTCTGATCATATGATTAGATATAAGATATTCTAGGTGAAGAGATAGGAAAGGAGTTGAGATTTTTTAAAGGCGTTAATACTTTAGGAACAAAAGAATTGGATAAGTATTAAATTTACGTGGTAAATAAGTCCTAAGCTGTACATATTTAGGAATCTAATGTAATGTTACTAACTTTTATTCGATTTGCTATAATAAGAAACTTTTTAAGTATAACCTCATTTGTTAGCAAACGAATATCTCCCATTGATCATTGGTTTAATAGATTCAGTTAGGGCAGCCGGTTTTGCATAATGCTGTTTTATTAATTGAAAATTTACGGTTAGAAAACCAATTATAACAGATTGATTTATAAGATAGATCCGATATGTTAAAAGTTTTATGATTCTGTTGAAGTAGACCTCATTATCTATTTATTTAATGTATGTTATTATAGATAAATATTGAATAAATTATTTCAGAGGCAGTTTCCATCCATTATGTGATGTTGATTTTTAAAACATATTTTTTTGTTCTGTTCCCGCATGGCTGACATTTTGTAATGCTGGCTGGAAATATGCAAGGGCTTTTTTTATCTGTATTCACTGCTAATAAAAATGTACAAATAAGGTGATAAGCAAATAGTTGAACTTTAGGGATGTACAAATTAATAAATAGATGAAAAAATGCCTTTTTTTATACATGTATGCATAGTTTTAAAGTGCCTGTTCGTATTTTCTTCTTAAGGGGCAATTGTAACGTAAACGACGACGTCGCTCAACCGACTAGCCTGTTAAATATTTTACTACTCCTTTAGTGATGTGCTGTTTATGAAAAATGATATATATATCGATACTTTTATTCTTAGATAGATAGATCTTGTAAGATGTTTCGTGATCTTAGATTTTTTATTTCAATTTTAAATGTGATTTTTGTATTTTTATAAAACAGTCTATTTGGCGTTGAAAAGATTATTAACATATGTCGTTGCAAGCTTTAAATTTAAGAAATTACGCTAAGATATATACAGGGACAGCTGTTTTTTTCTGAAATAACGACCCAATCGACTGAAAGTTTTTGTACCAACCGTCGGCGGTCAAAATGCTGTTATTCTTGTGTAATGTAAGTCAATTATCGTTTACATACAAGTGACATTTAAACAACTTATTGGCATAATATTATGTATTGACATAATGGTTGCGTTCGCGCCATTTCTTATTTTATAAGGCGCGTTCAATGTAATCAGTTTTTGTCGCTTGACACTAAAAAAATTTAATTTAAACGTATTGAATGATGGAAATACGATGACCTTTTTTGCACTCTGAGGACATTAAACTGTTGGTATAACTTTTAGGACATTGTAATATGTATCTGTGCATTATTTTACGCCTAGAAATAAACATAGACAATTTGATGTAATACGTTACTATTGCTTTTAAATATTTAATTACGTATAACGTAAAATTCACAGAAAATTATTTTTTTTTTTTAAATAAAAATGTTTAGGAATTCACCTAAGTATTCTGTAGTAAATTTAAAACTAGATGTTACGCGCGACTCCTTCCACGTGAATTTAAAAAATATAGTATACCTCAGCGATAACGTAACTTTCTAATGGTTAAAGAAATCGACCAAGTGGATTTTGAGTTATTTCAATAAATACAAAAATCTAAAAATTTAAATCCTCTTTATAATATTAATATAGATATAGATGAAATTGTCAATTTTATGATTTTTTATTACATATGAAGTGAGTTTAAACGAGTCGTGCACACTGGCCGATGTTGCACGACTATAAAAAGTCCAATGGTGCCTTAAACGGTCCTGCGGAGTCACGAAAACTTTGTAAAGAGGTTCCATTTCAGATTAAAAAGCATTAACACACAATAAACTTTAATTTTTTTGTTACTTGCGACGTGACTTTGAGTTGAAGCAGTAATTGTATATTTTTTCACAAATACTGGTGTCACAAATACGTACATATTTTTGACAAAGTGAGAAAAATAAAAATACTTAACGAATTGTAAATTTTTTTAAGTTATATATGACCGACTTCCCAAAAGAAGAAGGTACTCAATTCGTCTGTAAGGATATTTTATTCTTTTTTTATGTGTGTTACGCCATATCTTTGACACTGGTAGACCGATTTTGAAATTCTTTTTTTATCCGAAAAGTAGACTACAGTGTAGTTAAATAGTTTAGCTTCAAATCGCGTGACGAAAATTAGGGTGTTTTTTTGCTTATGTGAGTTAAAATTTTATATCGATATATCTCATTCACATCTCTATATAATAAGCTTTTGATGTACGCCAGCAGTTTGCGGTTGTAATGGTAGCAATTTTATAACCATTTGGGACGCTGGTCTGCGGTTTAGCGACTTCTGTAATATCACTCGGGATGCGTTTTACGACCTCGTCTAATTATAAGATTACGCACTTTAGTCACTGCAGGAAACTTTAGTATGGATATTGAACGTTTTCTTGTACGCAAAGCGTATGCAGATTTGCCTGTTGTAAGCTGTATGTGGTTTTACCTATGTACTTGTTAGACATTTGTTAATATTTACATCATAGTCTTACTAATATTATAAATGCGAAAGTTTAGATGGATGGATGTTTGTTAGAGTTTGTAGCCTAAACGGCTAAACGGATTTTGATGAAATTTGGTATAGATGTGGAGGATAATCTGGAAGAACACATAGGCTACTCACTTTTGTTTTTTTTTTTAATTCCACGCGGACGGAGTCGCGGGCGAAAGCTAGTAATATTATAAATGCCAAAGTTTAAATGGATGGATGGATGTTTGTTAGAGTTTATAGCTTAAACGGCTGAACGGATTTTGATGAAATTTGGTATAGATGTAGAGGATAGTCCGGAAGAACACATGGGGTACCCACTTTTGTGTTTTTTAATTCCACGCGGACGGAGTCGCGGGCAAAATCTACTTAATTAATAAACCTTTTAGACATATTCACTCCCTATTTAAACAATACTCCGCTTCATTACTACCAGTAACATTCTAAAATAACGAATGGAGTATATTTAGATGAAATATTATTTTAAAACGTAAAACAAATTACAATTCATATGGTACTTTCATTGGAATGTTGCAAAGAAAAAAATGCATTTATCTTTACCGACCCAAGCATTGTATGCAAATTATAACCTACAAACGAGTACGGTCATATTGATATGGAATTGCCCAACAAAACAATACTATATATGAAAAGTCTGTCTATCCAATTGTGAGCTTTCAGATTTCTGTCGCCAGTCCTTTGAAGTTACTTTGAAGAATGGTTTAATGATCCTAAAATACACTAGAATTAAATCAGAGGAATTAATGTATTAGTACAGAGTTATCGTTACCGTTGGAATGCCTTTCGACTGAGGCAATTGTTAAGCAGACGATGCCTCGAGCGTCAGACGCCATCTTTGCTAGCTAGTGATGTGAATGGAACGATAAAACAACGTGCATCGACTTCGTCCATCAATGTATCGTTAAAGTAATGAGAATCGATTTTCTGATTATTTCTTCTAAAGAGATATGCGGTCAAAGTGTACAATCAGGATATAAATAGAATAAACGCTTGTTTTACATTTTTATTTCAAAAATTATCCAATAGCCAAAATATTTCAATGTTAATTTATTTAATAAAGGTAATCTCCGTACTCACTATAGGTTTATTATTATATGCATTATAATACAAACTTGGGCTTCTTGTATACCACGTGACTATGAAAAAGTAGCTTGGTTCGTGCCATTTTTTCCCGCGCTAATCCGTCTCATGTGACAACCAATGATAGACGACGCCAATAACTAAAAACCACTCTTTTAAAAATAAATATTCCATTTCATTGTTTACAATTTAAAAGGTAATTGATTTTTAATTAAAATTTGTGTTGCGTATAAACTTAAATTATTCGAAAAAAAAAATCGTGAAACTGGAAATACAGATAAAATAAAACAAACATCATATCGTCTCCTAAGATGAACATTTAATAATTCTTGATAAGTAATAAGGTGCGATTAACACCTTATTAACGGCGAGGAAGTTTATTGCGTCATAACTCTTGGTGTAACACTGTTACAAACGAATAAAGTCGGCAGTGAATTGAGCCATAAAAATCCATCGCAACGCTATTCCGATCCAATTAGTGGAGCAGGCGTGAAGTTAACGCAATCAATGCGACAAAGTAAACGATTCGAACAACCAATTATAAAAATTTAAATGCCATAATAAGCTGCAAAACAGCAATTAGTTACAGTGGAGGCTAATATTAATTTTACGTGATTGATTCTACATTTATCCACAACTAGCGATCCGCCCCGGCGTTATACGGGTCCAATTCAGATACTAATATGTGTCACATTACATTAGAAACCTCTAAAATTAACAGTATTGCTTTACTAAATTATATATTTACTTTTATATAAAACCTTCTTCTTGAATCACTCAATCTATTTTTTTTAAAAAAAAAACAGTATCAAAATTAGTTGCGTGGTGACAAAGATCTAAGCATGCACACAGACAGACAGCGGGAAGCAAACATTGTTTTATACTATAAAATATAGATTAAATAATAAGATTTGTTACTTAAAAAAAAATCAGATAAAATATACGGTTAAATAAAATTTCAATAAAACAATCGAAACGGAAATTCGGTTAAAATCGAGTGTTAAAATATAATCGATTTAGCATTTTTATAAGCGTTAACACAAAACTTTTGTTACACATGTATAGGAATTTAAAGATGGCTATGTGTTCGCCGCCCAGGCAGCATTCCCCAGTAATACGAGGTAATTTTATAACCATTTGGGACAGGCGGCTAACTGAGGTTGGCTGACGGTTTTTATGGCGTTATTTAATTATTGACTTACGGCACTAGCTAATGCAGTTTTTACCATAGGAATCGAACTACAACTTCACAGAATACAGAA